CAACGAAGGGGCCAGGCTCAGCAATCAGTGTCTTAGTGCTCTTGAGGCTACCCGAGCCATGCCTGAGGGCAGCCCTGGCCTTTTCCTCCCTGCAGGGCGAGGTGCGGCCATACCCCAGTCCCTCTGATGGACCTGAAAGACAGACACGTGTCGCAGCCAGCAATGGGGACAGGTAGACAGGCTGGGCTCCCAACTTTTCCCCATGGAAGGAGCCCACAGAAAGAGCCAAAGCCATGTCACATGATGCTGGGGCCCCTTTAAGCAAGGGTAGGGCAGCTCTTGGACTGCTGCTCACTGTGGTGCCCCAGGATAGACAAGGTTGGGTCCCCGCCACACCAGGACTGTGGTCCTCACAGCACCTGAACCCCTAGAAATATTTTTCAGGGTGGTTTCAAAAGCTCAGAGAGGTTGTGCTAATGCAACCAGAGAGTCAGCAGTTGCGGCATAGTGAGAAGCAGTAAGGAGAGGCTCTCCAGACCTGAAAAAAAATTAACTTTTTTTAAAAAAGAGGAGGGGGGAAATGGAGCTGAAGGGTGCAGTCAGTTTGAAAACGATGGACACATTTCTGTCAGAAGTAAAGCTCCTGGGGTGAAAAATAGAATTCCCCAAAGTAGGAAGGAGACATTTTGATCACGAGATGCCTCTCTAATGCAGCCGCCTGCCGGGCACCAGCCCAGCCCAGGCCCCCATGCACTGACAAAGCAAGGCAGCCCACTGCGTGCCGCCCGGTGAGCGGTGGGGGATTAACCGAGACATGCCCGGGGGACCCAGCCTCCCGCCGACTGTTATTTCCTTGCGGGATGATTTCAGCATTAACAATATTGTTTCTCCCTCCTCCAGAGAGTTCATTATTGCTCCCCTACAACGCGAGCCCTCTCGCACAAATTACTTATCGATCAGGTAGAGCTGCCTTGACATGAGGCGCCGCCATGGAGGCAGCTGGACCTGGGTGTCACAGCTCCTCTTGCCCGCAGGATGAGCAGGATATCCCAGGCAGGGCAGCTTCCCCTCTCCCCATGCTCCATGGCTTCTGGAGGGGGATGCTGGTCCCAAGTCAGCCCCCTGCCCGCTGCTGGCTGCCAGGGCTCCAGGCAGGGGTGAAGGCTTTTGGAGCACCCCTATGTCCACAGGCAGTGAGGACATGCTCCAGCATCCCTCCAGCATCCCCCCCACAGCCCTGGCAGCAAAGCAGGGCAATGCCAAAGCCATGCTGCTGCGAGACAGGGGCAAAAAATATCCAGAGAGGGATGTTTTTCTCTCTAGCAGGGCATCCTCAAAGTTGGCTATTTGAAGGGAACCTTGTCTGAGCGCAACACAGGCGAGCAGGTCTCCAGCCCCCCCCAGCACCGAGAAGAGAGGAAGGCAGCCAAAAGAAAACCAAGCCAAAATCCTCTGCAGCTTAGAATGGCTTAAATCCCCGCCTGGGGAGGAGGTGCCCAGCATTAAGGCTTGACAAGCCCTGCCTCTGCAGCAGTCTGGCTTTTCACTGGCCAGGCTCTCCCTTCTACATAACATCCAGGCTTCAATTTCACTCATCACCTTCAAAAACTAGGGCCATCCTTAAAAAGCCAGACAATCAAAACACTCAACTGTTTACTGGTGGCACAAAGTCATCCTATTAGAGGCTTGGAAGAAACGCATTGCACCTGTCAGAGAGAGGCAGAGGCATGTGCATGATTAAACAGGATATTAAAAACAAGCCCTTAGGAGTAAGAAGACATCCTTCAAGAAGTTCAAGTCACCCCCAGACAGGGGAAGTAGAAAACGAGACAAAACTCTGGCAAGATAAACTTAACACATCAAAGCAAGTCAGGGGAGGAAAAAAAAAAAAAGACTGTGTTGCTAAAACCAGGAAAAATGACAAACTGATGTGTTCATCAGGAGCAGGATGCATGTCGGAGCGACTGCGGGGATAATAAATGACGAGGGAAGAGAGGAGGCTGCATCACCAAGAAATTAATTTTTCTTGACACCTGCATTCATTGCAAGAAGAGAACCAGGAAGTTTCTCCCTGCCAAGACCTTTCTTTTTCAGGACTGATCTCAGCCTGTGGCATCCCTACAGGTTTGGGACAGTACCCCAACACTGCCTCAGCAAAGCAGCCGCATCGCTCCAGGGTACCCCTGCAATCAGCAGCGAAATCAGCTGCCACATGCAACCTCATGCTCAGACCCACCTAACAGACAGCAAAAGCCACGCTGGTTTTTTTCTTTACAAAGCCCTGCAGGGATCTGGGTAACTGCAGATAAGGAAATCAGACATCTGCACCTGGCACGTCGCAGTGTCTACCAGGAGCACCGTTAGTGATGCACGGGCAGACACGGCACACTGGGACGCAGCCGCCGCTTTGCAGAGAAAAAGTCACATTCGCAGATCCGTCTCAGTTATCTGCAAGAGTGGCAACCCAACCCCAAAAGCCTGTGTGGCTTTTGAGAAAACCCCCCACCTAATGCTCTTGGAAAAACCATCATCCACCACAGCATAAGAGCAAGGTCCTTAAAATATTAATAATGGGTTAAAAGAGAAGCAGCAATATTTGGCTTTCGTAAACAAGACTGCCAGCAGAGTCCAAGGGGGATTTACTCGGGGGCTCTGCCACTCGGCACACACAAAAAGGGCTTCACAACAAGGCAAACCTGAGATGACAAAGCGTGCCTGGGAGATTTAGCTTCTCAGGATAGCAAAAATGAGAGCGAAGAATCCAGAGGGACCTCCTGCCAGTAAGCAGCAAGGTAATAAAATAGCAGAGGAAAAGAAGCAGTGCTAAATGACAAAACAAGGCACACAGGGAAAAAACAACCCCAACTTCAGTGCTGGGATCTGAATTAGCTGCTACCACACCTGTAAGGGACCTGGGTATTAAGAGTCGCAAGAAAACATCAGCTAAATGCTCAGAGCAGTTGTCAGGAAGACCATAAAAGCAGCAATCAAACATTGGGAATTTGGAGGAGAGAACAAAAGAGAAGGTAATAATTCTGCCACCGAATAATCCCCTGGTGGAGCTTGACTGCTGTGTGGAAAGAGGTACTGTGGAGCTAGAGAAGATGCAGAAGAGGTGAGGATAAGTGTCTGGTGTCCAGCACAGGACAACTGAACAGGCCAGGAGGAGCCAGGGGAAGGAGGAGGAGGGTGATGTCAGGCAGCACCCACAGGCACAGCCCTGCCAGGTCCGAGGTGTTGCAGCATCTCGACGCCAGCAGGGCAGCAAGGCAGGGTCACGGCAAGCACTGGCCAGAGCCCCCCCCCAGGACACCCCACTGTCACACGAGACCCACCGTTGGCGTCTTCATAGCTGGGCTGGCCATGCTGCGGAGGGACGGAGGCACCAGCCTCACTGTCCGGGGGACTTTCACCGCTGTCGAGCTGTCCCACTGGCGGTGGCCATGGCAGGTCTTTAATGACCTTGATTTCAACTGGATGGGGGGCAAGGGTGGGAAAGAGAGAGAAAGAGAAAGAAAGAAAGAAAGAAAGAAAGGGCTTAGAAAAAAAATGTCACCAACACCAGGCCCACAGAGAAAGAGAGCAGTTGTAGGGCGAAAGACCCGAGGACTAAATTCCTGGGAACCCTATGCTGGCTTGGCCAACTCATTCCCTCCCCAGCACCGAAAGTCCCCACTCTTCCCTTGGCTTTCCCGGCCAACCCTCTCTGGGGTTGCGGGAGCCTGCAATCACTGCTGTTCCCTGTGCACATCCGTCCGGGGGACCTTCGCCAAGCGTCCCATTGCCATCTGTCCTGCCCATGCATCCATCTTGTCCTGGGCACTTCCTGGCCACCCCATGGGGACCATGTTCCTCTGCCAGGCACCCAGCAGATTGCCGCCTCGTGCCGGTACCGGGTGCCCATCAGCAGGGATCTCGCAGGCCTCCCAAAGAGGGAAAAGACCAGTGGAGAGATCCCAGCATCACAGGAGAGGAGAAACACCCTGCGAGCCACAGCAAGACCTGGTCTGAGGGTCCCAATGTGGCCCAGGGCACAGCAACCTGACTCCTTTGGGACTCGGAGCAAGGCTGAAGTGCCCCAGGGAACACCCACGTGAAACCACATGCAAGCCAGACCTGTCAACGTGTCCCCTCCACCCAGGGACATCAAGCAAGGTGGCTCATCCACACAGATCCGGAGCACAGAATCTCAGCACAATCCATCCTGGCAGCGCACCGCGTTTCATGATGGAGCCTGACAAGCCAAATCCTCAGCACAGCGTGCCGCGGGCACCGACCTCGCGCCCAGCCAAGTCCCTGCAGCACGAGCACAATCCCAGGCATGAGTAAATGCCACAGCATCGAGCCCAGCACACACATCTCCAGCTCACAGAGCTCAAACCCAAAAGGTGAAACACTCTCAAGCCCAAAATCTCCAGGTCTCTCTCTGCCAGCATCACCGCGCAGCGCCAATAACCGACGGCTCAAGCACCTTGTGCAGGCCGGCTGCAGCGCAGATGCACACTGCTGCAATTAAAATGCAACCTAGATAAGAGTGTGGCAATTAGCCAGCACCGGCAGAGAAGCCAGCGCTAATGCACAGCATGGATTTCCTCATTAACAAACACAAACACAATCGATTCCGCAGCACAGATAAATAGGTCAGGGGGCTGGATGATTGCCTGGCCAAAGACTCCTGGGGGAGCGCCCAGCTCTTGTCCTGCCCCGAGGAAGGAGAGATCTGCTTCAACCCAGGGCTGAGCCTCTCCCCTGCAATTTGGGGTTTAGTGGACACTCAACTTGCACCCAAGGCTGTGACTAGATAGAGTAGGGGAAGAGGCAATGAGAGATTGGCACTGGACAGGCTGCCAAGGCAGCTCCATCCATCACTGCCACCCAGTCTGGTTCCTTGCTGAAAAGAAACAGCTTCTCCAAGTGCATGAGCACTCCCTGAGCCATGGAAATGCAGAGGCCAACGCTACCAACCTCCAAAAGACAAAGGAATGCCAAGGAGACAGCTTCCCCCATGCAAAACACAACGCAGCATCAGTCACTTTACGGCTGCTATCCATCTTCTATGGTTGCTCCCATCACTCACCTGCAAAGGCTTTGGAGATCCGCTCCTTCTTCCACTCCCAGGGCTGGTCATACTCCTCTGGTGGCCGCTCATCGTCCTCGGGCAGTCGGGACTCCCTGGGCCTGGGGCAAGCTGGGCGGTCACCGTCCACGTTCAGCCCTCCAAGCACTGGCTCGTAGGGAGTGTCATAGAGGTGCAGTGGCCGGGCAGGAGCCTCCCGTAAACCCTTCTGGCGGATCTCTAGCCAGACAAGAGGGAAAAGACCATGAGCTTTTTGCCCAACACAACCCAGCCATGCTCCCTAAAGCCCTGCTCGAGGAAAGGACTCAATTTCACCCAAGAGAGATGCAGAGCAGGGAGCATCAGCAATGGAACAGACCCCCAAAACTCCAGCAAGCACTGGGGCAGCTGCTGGGCAGCCAGATCCTGAGCAGTCCCCAGCACCAAGATTTCTTCTCTCCCCGTGGTACAACATTCACCACACTCAGGCACACCCCGTGGGGACAGATCATCCCAGAGCCTAGCCTGATTCCTTGTAAGCAGCAAGGCCAGGTTTCTTCCCTGGACACCCAGTGTGGCTAGTTTAATAAAACCCCCTTCCCTCAAACAAAACAAAAGGCTCTCCCACAGACACAAGCAGCCTCTTCATCACTTGCCAATTTTTCCAAGAAATGCAACGGCCTCCTCCAAAAAGCTGCATGAGATTTCCAGAAACCACTTGCTCCAGGAAAACCACGGGACTGCAAAGCAGAGCCAGAGCCTGGAGTGTGCAAGCCAGCACAGTGACCCTGCAGCAGTAAGAGCGATGACTTCAGGAGCGCACGCTCTCACCTCGCCTGCTTTCCAGCCATGAACAAGCCCACTGGGGACCCAGCTGCTGCAGCAGACAACAGCACGCTCTGGCCCAGTCCTAACCGAATTAAAGAGCTCCCACATCTGTCTTAGTTTTATGCCAGACGCATCGAATGTCAGGTCTCTCCTGGCTCAGCCTGGTGGCCAGGCACCATGGTCCCAAGGGGCAGAAATATCAAGGTGCCTTTATAGCTCGGGTAGCGTTCGTGAGTGCTCTGGCTATGGCAAGCCCACGGCACATGGCTAAAGCTGTGAAAATTTCCTGTGAAGTGGCTGTGGCACCACCACAGTGATTGCCCACATTTGCCTTGTCTTTCTGGTGCTGTCTTGGGCTGCAAGTTACAGTGGCCACCAAATTCACAAAGCAGAATTGCATGGAGCCTTCCACCTTACCAGCCATCATCTTCTGGGCTTCATACGGCTCCATGTATCCATCGTTCTCCGTCACCTTCTCCAGCCCTGCCTGGCTACCAGCCACCTGCGCCGCATCAAAGGGATCTGCGTAATCTTCCAGGACAGCCAGCTGGAAGAGGGGAAGGGAGAAGTGTTAGGGTACTCCCTGTCTTTTTTTTGGGGGGTCAGGGACCAGCTGAAGCCCCTTCAAACCTCA